CTTTAGCATTAATTTAAATTTATTAAAAGAGGAAAATCTATTTTTACTTTTGACCAAAATTAGGGGGGAAAAAATCACAATTCATCACATTTACTTTGATTAAAAAAGGACTAAACTTTATTGACAAACTGCTGCAGACATCTTGACAATTTTTAGCTACCTATTTAGGCAGGCTTACACATGTAGTAGCATTTTTATCTTCCAAGAACAAAATGGGAGGACCGTGTACAAAGCTAGGTATAAAATAAGCTCTTTCTCCTTGAATTCTCCATTGCAAAGTCCCTTTTTAACATAATGCTAGTGTTGAGACACACAAACATGTCACTGGAATGGCTTAAAAGATTGAGTTTTGCCAATTTTGAGCCTGACTGACTTAGGCACTGCAAACACTCAAGTGTTCAGCTCTTCCTTTGAGAGAGAGAGGGGAAAAAAAAGACACAATGCACAGCTATTTGTTTAATACTTCCTAATATCAAAACACTGGGCAGTTAAGAGCAATATAAAAAAATTACAGCGCAGTTAGATGTCCACTTCTCTTAAAAGTTCTTCATGCAGAATTAAACTAAGAATACCTTTTACGGGGAAAACCTCCACCACTAGCATCTCAACACTGGGGGGGCTAGATTTCAAAACTCAAATGGTTAGAGAGCCATTGTTACAAACCTACTTTTTTTTAAAAAAAGAAAAAACAAAAAAGGAAAATTGATGGAAGAAAAGAAACATAGTTTAAAAGTGTTAAGGAGGCTTCCTTTCTATGAACGTTTAAACTTACGATTAACCAAGAAATCTGCTTTTAAGGGCAAACTTTTGACATTTGACTTTAGTTTTAAACTGCGGCAGTCACTATCATTACATTATGGTTTTAATTCACACACACACACACACAAATTTCAACCCTGAATTTTGAAATGTACCCTACTTTGGGATTCTGGAACTACAACTTTTATGGGTTGCCTAAAAATAAAAAAAAAAGCGAAAAAAAATACTTAAAAGATTAACAAACTTTTAATCTCATAACTGTTAAGCAAGCATATCACTTTGGAAACTAACATTTTTATCTTTTTTTCTTTTTAAAGGTACAGTTGTTTATAATATCTAAACAGGAAAGAAAAGCAGCCTACACACTTTAAAAAAATGAACCCTGTTTGGCTAAATCTAACTTATTTTAAAATACTACATACAGAAGCCAGAATGCAGGGGTGGGGGTGGGGGAAGGTTAGAGGTGGGAGCAAAAAGGGAGCCAGAGAAAAATCAGGGAGACAATTACTTGTCTGTTGTGGGTAAAGGAACAGGAATCCTGGGAGATACAACTGAATCAGAAACAACTGTTTGCCCCAAAAGTGATTATTTCCCCTGCACGAAGGCTTTAATAGCGTCCGTAGGGGTGCTCTCGATAGGCCCCCTTCACTGGCCGGGTCGGAGGGGCCTTGAGGGAGGGCCTGGTTCCATTCCAATCATCTTGACCTGCGGAAAAGAAAAACAGCACACTTGCACGCCAGCCCAGCAAACGAGGGAAGCGCGAGGGGGGCCACGTCTGCAAAAGAGCCCAGGAGAATGTTCGAGGCAGTGATTTTGGGGGGCAGGCCAGCGGGGGCCACCCCCTTCTGCAGGGGCAAACCGTACGTAGAGCGGGTGCAGCGATCGCCAGGGATAGGGGGAGGCATGGGACGAATGCCGGTCCAGCCCCATCCCCCCACCCCGAACTGGCAGGTCCAATGACTGCTCGCCAGCCAGCGTGGTGCCCATTGTGCCAACTGCAGAAGTAGCTCGGCCCAGCGCTTCCCCGCCCAGCTGACCGCTTGACAGCTGAGCAGAGAGCTTCATCATCCCGCCTCCGCCCAACTGGCAGGTTCCCAGGAAAGGAGGTGCCAAAGAAAACCACGGGGACAACTGAGTTCATGGCCAGAAGCTCTGTCCCACAATGGATCTGGTCCCCAGCTCGTCAACACGGGGCTTGGGCACGGGGCTGTCCTGACCGGGGGTAGGAGTAGTGGAGACGAAAGAGACCCTGTGCCAGCCGCTCCGGAAACAACGGCACAGCAGCTTGTCAGCCCCTCAGTGTAGAGGGCAGGAAACTCCCCTGGGACTGGTTTTTGTGGGGGCCACTGGTTCCATCTTATTTACACCAGCAGAGAATCTCTGGGCCATCCAGACTGGCACAGTTTAAAGCTCCAGGATTTCCATGGCATTCATGTGCCCATGAGAAAGGAAGCCCTTTCTGAATGCAGAACTCAGTCTCTGGAGAAGCTCAAGTTCCCCATGCAGTTTAAAGCTCCAGGATTTCCATGACGTTCATGTGCCCATGGGAAGCCGTTTCTGAATGCAGAAGTCAGTCTCTGGAGAAGCTCAAGTTCCCCATTTACAAAGACAGACACGTACAGACATTGCAGTTTTAGTCTGTTTTAGAAGAAGGGAGGCTGGGAAGTCTATGGGTGAGGCCGACTGACATTTGGTAAGTCAGAAAGGGAGGCCCAGGTTTTAATAACAATTAAGACAGATAAGCTGAACTTTTCCCATGTGGGCTGACAATTTGTAGTGTATTCTACGGGCACCCAGGATGAATGAACTCCTGTAGAAAAGCTTTTCTTACTATACTTTTCTATGATTTCCCTGCTTTTAAGATTATCTGTACAAGCATTTCTCAACACCAATTAAACATCAGATCTCAATTTAAGCAGAGATCTGCACTGAACTGAAAAAACACATTTATACCCAGCTGCATTTCTCTAGAAGCCTAGACTACTGTAAATGTTGTGTTGTTTGCACTTGGAAGTTAGACATACCATATGCTTCATAAGATTCTTGAGCCTCACCATGGCCATAGTCATAGTATTCTGTTTCCCTGCAAAAAACACAAGATGAATCATAATTATTTCTTGAGACTGCTGTGGCTGTCTTTTTTTGAGTCTTATGGTTATGATGGTACAATTCACGCTTCTGCCAGTAAAAGGCTGTTTTGTACACCTGGTTCTTGCAGTGCCTTGGACGTTCTACTTCCACACCATATCTCTGCACCAAAGAAAGCGTTATCTAGGTGGAACTACATGGGGTCATTGTAAGCAGGAAAGGAGAGATGATGCCAACAGCAACAGGACAGGAGGATAAAGAAGGCTTCTGGGAGCCCACTGTCTTCCTCGGGAGGAAGAATATCCTTTGCTGAGGAGTTCTAAGTCTACCACTGGGGGTTGACATTTCCATTTATCACGGTGCTGCTTGACAAGGCTACTTTTTGTGACCCATCCTCCTCTTGAAACAGAATCAAACGGCCCACCCACTAAAGGTTTGAGGTTTACTCTTCCCAAGACATTTGTCAACTGGGACCGTGCCGTGCCAATGAAGCCAAAAAACCCAAGGGAGCACTTACTGTTGACCCTGGCTATAGTAGCCTTCGTAGCCTTCATAACTTTGCTCCGCATAAGCATCATCATAGCCCTGAAACGGATGCAGAGACAAAGAAGGAATCAGCAACAGCCAGCAGTTAACAGTCCAGGAGGATTCAACTCAAGAGAGCAGAGCATCTTTTCTATACAAGGCACGTTCAAATGATGTAGGGCAGAAAATGAACAGACGTGATACAATCACACCCAGCAGTTCAGGGGGTTGTCAAAGAGGTGACTGAAGGATTGTCTTCCACTCCAGACATCATCATCATGAAGTGCTGTCAAATCAGTTCTGACTGATAGTAACCCTTTTCAGGGTTTTCTGAGTAGTGAATACTCAGAAGTGGTTTACCCTTCCCTTCTTCCTTGGGAGCCCTGGGACTCCTGTGCAGCTGGCCCAAGGCTACCCAGCCTGCCTCTTCTCCCGGAAGGCACAGTGGGGGGAATCAAACTCCCAACCTCTGGCTTTGCAGCCACTTCCAATTCACTGAGCTAACCATGGTATAATAAGGGTTTTGGATCCTGGTGGACAGTCATAGAGGGTTGGGGTGTGCATACGTGAGCCCCATTTCCAAAGCCCTGAAACCTCACAGGACACACACCTGGCTTCCTGAGTAACTAGGTCAACTTCTGGTTTTGAAAAAATGCAGTTTAGAGGGCAATAACAAGGGGCAGAAACTATCCTTGTTTGAGGATAGCGTTGTGTGTCCCTGAAACTTTCAGAGGTGTGATTCTCTTTTTATTGGATCAGGGGGGTTAGTGATGGGGATTGAGGGGTGGCCTTGGTAAGCTGCACCACTTTTGCCAAGAGAATTCCCACGTGTTCCACCCCTCAGTTCTTTCCTCTTACACAATGCAATTAAAAGCCTCTAGTGTTTGTCAAACCATGGTCTCCCCCAACAGGGAAACCAACTTCATCTCAGATAACAAACCAGGATCTCAAGATGCAGAGTGCAATTAAGAGCGAGCCCCAGAGGTCCTTCACAATGGTATGTGAACGGATGAAAGAGGTAAAGCTGTGTTCGAATCAGACTACAGTCTCAAGTGTAACGGCAGTAGGAACAGTGTCACACGGGGGACTTGTCAGAGAAGCTCAAATCTCCCTTAATGCAGGTTAAACTACTGCTTCCATACTTCAGCCTCACCTAGGCTATACAGGCAGTCTTCTTCCAGACCCCTGATCCAGCCCTTTTGAGCACCAGTTTCTGGGAATGATAGATGGAAGCCTTGAGCAGCCACTGCCGCCTCCCCTCCATGGAAGCGTGTGTCCCAGCAGAAGCAAGTCCTACTCATTCTCTAGTGCCATTCCTTTTTTAAAAAAAACTACATTGAGGCCCAAAGGACAGCACAGAAGGGACACTGCGATCGTTTGCAGTACGGTATCCTGTGTCAAAGCAAAGTTACGAGAACCTTGGCTCACGGCATCACCTCCCCAGGGTGTAAAACAGCCTGCATGCCCAAAATATCTGCCTTTCAACTCTGAAGGATGGAGAGTTCCAAGTTTTCTTACATAATCTTCATAGGTCTCTGGTGCAGGAGGGGGTGGAAGAGGTATTCTCTGAATGCCGGCGGTGCGGGCTCTCGGAGCAGGGGCCCCTCTCACGGGTGGCAGAGGGGGGACACCGCGGGCCACAGCTGCTCCCCTTGTGATGGCACCTCTCACGGGGGCCCCTCGCACAAGGGCTCCACGTGGGGGAAGTGGAGGAGGCCCCACACCCCGTCCCCTAGAGAGGAAGGAAAGAAAGCAAAGTCAAGGACACACAGTGTATGCACGGTGAGGCTGAGACCATTTACGAAATCTGATCCAGCACCAGCAGCGAAGCTAAACCCCCTGAGGCCTGAGCAGCAGAGAGCAGTAAGAAAAATTATCTGCATTAAAACCCATCCTACGAGGCAGAGCCAGAGAGATCCTGGCGTGAAGCTTGGATTAGCAGCAAGTATTAGCTACGGAAATCGCTTCAACTGCAGGTCACGCAGGAATAACACCGTTCATGGGTTATCAAACCTAGCATGGCCTTCACAGCCTTGTGACTTACAAAAAATCTTCAATGCAAAGAGGGAGAAGCAGTATTGCTTAAGGCCAAAGCACACAATACTGATTCTGTCCCTCCAATGTGCATGTAAAAGCTCTACAAAACTGGGCCCACTTCTGACACTGAAGATTTTGGAGATTTCTTAATTCATTTGTGTTAAGGATCAAAGGATAACTGAAAAAGGCCAATGCATGAAGGCCAGGGCACGCGAAGAAAAGTAGATAAGCAGGCTGGAATTGTTTGGGAGCCGTGATACCTAAATGCAGAAAAGCTGGGGGGGAAATAGCCACGGTCAAGCAAAAGGCAGCTGGGTGGGACACTGAAAATACCTCCCTCCCCCCACACGATAAGAAAGGCTGACCGCAGGCAGGCTGGATTTAAAGCCATGAGGGCTAGAAGCAGTTTGCAAGGAAGAGTGACTTCAGAATGTCCAATTTTGCTCCCACGTGTTGTGCAGTATTTTGGCAGCGCCACAGTTCAAGCTGCTCTGTCATTACTGAGAGCATAGGGAAGCTTGCACCGTGCTGGACAGTTGGCACCTCTCTGAGGTCCACATCCAATGAGATACATACAGCTTGCGACTGGGGGAGCAAACCAAGACTCGAGACCTGCACCTATAACAGGAATGACCATCCTGTGCCTTTGCTACTGCCTCTTTGCTACTTGCCATCAAGGTTGTCCCACTCCAAAAATACAAAACCCAACATGTCTGTGAAGCCTGGACATTGCTTTCCCATCTTCGCCAAAGTCTCTGGAGCCCAACGGCACTGCTTAAAAGAGGCAACTGCAACCAGGTTGAGCTCTTACCAATTGCACAGGATGTCTAGAAACATGCCCGTTTGTTACCTAGGGACAGGCGGAGGTGGGGGAACCGCTCCTCTGCCCCTCACAGGAAGCCCTCGGCCACGGGTTGGCTCTGGGACACCATTGAGATAGGACAGCTCCAAAAACTGCTCCTGGCAGATGTCATCCATCATATCCTAAGTGAAGACAACGAGGAGATGGAGGTTGAGATGTGCAAAACAACATTCTGTGCTGGTAGCTCCAAGCAGGCTTGGAAAGCAGGCAAGTGGGAGCGACCCAGGCTGATGCAGCAGCTGTTGCAAAACATTTCTGCACTCCCTCCAGAGCCGTTGGGCTCCCTGGGAGTCGAAGGCACTCAGAGCCGGCTCCCCCAAGAATAAAGCTGCTCATTCTTGCTCACAGGAGGCAGGGGTTGGTTTCTATCTCCTCCCCCCCAAAAGCACACACCAACATATCAGCAAATCTGTCTGTGCTGTATCCCTGCCCCCTCCCTGCTGCACAGGCAGTACCACCCGAGGAGAAAACTTTCCCCTCCCGATCCAGTGGTGAATTCAGTTTCTGAGGCCGATCTGTGCAATGGGGACCCCTCAAGAGCGTAAACGTCAGACCAGGACCTTCAGCTTTTGCACAGACAGAACACCGTTGTAATGGGTGAAAGGAAAAACAGGGGAGGCTGGGGAAAGCTGCATTAAAGGTACATCCTGAAGCAGGCCAGATCATTTCATAGGAAATCAAACAGTAGAGATCCAACAGAGTAACATCTGGAATTTTATTCTCCCTTAAAGTCTGGCTCTCACTCTACCTCTAAAAATAGCTGAGGATTTATTATTAGTTTTATTTAGTGAATAAAGCCCAGGCTACAATACCATGAGGCATCCATTCTTTTTAGAGTTACGTTCTCTACTGTCCAACCTTTCTTTAAGAAAGACGGCTATCAAAAATTGCTTTGAACAGATGAAAATATTTAAAGTTTTTCTTTCCTGATTTCCAAAGGATGTTATATGTTCGTCAGTAACGTTCTTAATAGCTTTTGGGGAGGGCTAATTTTCACTAAGGTATCCAGAGATCTCATATAGAATAATTAACTATTTTGCATGCTTCTCCTTTTCTCCTGCTTTTCAGCGCTAAGAAAGAGCTATTAGAATATCACTCCATTGGGGGGGGGGGAGAGAATGGATATCCTACCTCAAGGAAATGTTGTAAATCGAAAGAACATGGAGTACCAGCCAAGGTAAACCTTACACCTACTTCTTCAAAATACCACAAGGCCCTCTTTATCCTTGGTTGCTAAGAAACTGTTCTTCCAGAAAGAGGATCAACTGTGTATCTGTGTTTGTTCCAATCATGTTTTGAGCTAAATGTCAGTTGAGCACTAGCAATTAAAACACAGCCACCTGGTGCATCTGCTGGCCTTCATTAACAAACAATCTGGAGGCCAATCACCCAAACTAGTCCCGGACATTCTGGATGACCACGGTTTGAGAACACCTAAGCAAAATGCATCAACTTGCATGAAATATTCAACATTCGCTCAAATTCTTCTCAAGTCAATGGAGTTCTTGACTGAGATAAATCTTCCAAGCACGTCTCCTATGGATCCTTTTGAGCTGCATTTATTTCATGGGACATGCTACACTGCAATCGATCTGACTTCACAGTCTGTCACTACTAAAGCACACTAAAGCCTCTCTTTGGGGAGAGGATGTTACTCACCGGAACAAGGAACTTCTTGACTTCTTCCATGGCGTGGGCCATGAGAGCATAAGCCTCGCACGGTGGTCCAAATACTTCAATGAAGACATGCAGGTCCATATTTAAGTGAGCATATTTTGGGTCTCCTCCTTTGCGTAGCTCTTCCTCCTGGAAACACCCGGGGGTTACAACAGGTAACCAGAGAGATTAAGACCAATCATGGCAAATGACCCATGGAATATATATATATATATATTTGGGCTGTGGATAAGTGAAACTGTGGATACTGATTCAGAGAGATTAAGACCAATCATGGCAATGGATACTGATCCCACGGATATGGGGATCCTACTGTACAAAGCATGGCCTCTGGAATTAGCAGATATTGATTCCACAGATGAGGGGGTCCTGTTGTATTGTTGCAACTCTACAATTCTGTGCTTCTGTGATCTTTCCTTAATATTTAAAGGGGCCCAAAAAAGTCACTGTTAGTGTTCTCCCTGTGAGGTTAACTTCACCATTCTTTTTAACTGGCACAAGTGGAATTACATTGAACAACTTGCTGAGGCTGTCCATACACCTACAGAACAGACCTCCATTCAATAATGTCTGAAGACACATACTAGCTCTACTCAGTCATTCCTATCAACTAGGAATGATTAAATCCTATCAACTCAAGACCAGTGTGTATGCTTTGTACTCCTGTTCCCGTGTGTGCAGACACACCTTCCAGACTGATGTCACCTATGGCCTGGCAGCATGGCTAGTGTGGCTGCTGAGAAGGTCAGGATTAGTTCAGAACGTGCCTTTCCTGCTCTCCATGCACGTGGTAGAGGATGGTACTGAACAGCCAAATAAGGCTATCATCTGGATTAACTGGTGGATTATGGAAAACTCAGCCTATGCCAGAACGCTTTCTTTAGGGCTGAGCTATTCTGATACTGCTTTTCAGTGCACAAGGTGAAGGAGGATCCCAGGGACAGAGAAAAATGTCAGAAGGTCCTCAGGAAGCTGCCTGCCCAAGCAAACATCAACAGCTGTACGTGGGACACATCCCCATTGATTCTCCAAAAGCATTTGGGGGAAAGTGACATCCATTCAGAGATTGACTCCACAAGCCTTGATAAAATCAAACCTAAAAGGGAATAGGCAAAACTCCCTAACGTTAGGGCATGTGCTTAAAGGGCCTTGAATGGATAAACCAATCCTCCACTGGTTTACATTTTTTAAAAAATTAACTGGGGTCCCTCATACAAGAGTCGTCATCACTTGAGCCCGGAGCCCTTACCAATTTTTTAAAAAATTAACTGGGGTCCCACAACATACAAGACTCGTCATCACTTGAGCCCGGAGCCCTTACCTTTGCCTTGTCTCTCATGGATCCCTTCCCCAGAACTGAGATCTTTGCTCCGGTTTCTTCCTGCAGACGCTTGATGGTGTTGCCTTGAGGTCCCAGGATCTTCCCAACAAAGTTAAACTAGGAGAAGGAAAACAGAGGCTTCTTTTCACTTGGCTGCATTCTACTTTGCTGCATGTTTTAATCGGTGCTGACCTCAAGAGTTCCAGGAAAAACACAGCACTGCATGTTCCCAATTTTTGGTACAGGGTGTACTAAAAGCCAGGCAGCTCTTCTTGAGAATGCTGCCACCACTTGTCGTTGGTGCCTGCGGGTCTCCTGGTAAATGGCAAAACCCTATCACCCCCCTTCCCTTTGCCTAGAACATCTTCACCGTTCTATGGTGTGCCTTAGCCTTCTACACTTTGCCCATTCTCTCAAAAGTCAATCTCCATGACAGCACCTCACACCCCTTCCCTTCCCTTTTCAAACTGCCCCTCATTTGTCCAGAAACATCCCTCCTTTATAAGGATTCCATTCCTCTCTTTCCAGCTACTTATTCTCACTTAACTTGCCTCCCTCCATCCTGGATACCAACCCTCGTGACTATCCCACTGTTGTGGTTTTCTCTGTCGGAAATCTTGTTTCCATGCCCTGAGTCCTGATGCCAAAGCAGGGAGTGGCAGAGGCCCACCACCGCCTTCCCAAGGCCTGGCCATTTCTAGTCCCTGCATTCCTAGGTCCTTTTCTCTTTCTGGAACTTCTTAATGCAACACCTCAACATAGGCAGCTGACACAAGTAATATAAAGTTCTCTGAAAAAGAAAAGTGCACCTTCTTTGAATTCTATGCCGTTACATATCAGAAGACGATACAATCATCTGATCCTCAGCAGGTCTGAAAATTAAGTAATTACCTACAACCTCAGATGAACAGCAATGCATGACATATTACACCGTGTCATGACTCATTTTAGAGAAATAACACTAAAAAGGAGGAGCCATGTGTGAAAAACTAAGTAGACCCTATGTATTACTTAGGAATCAAAATGAAGCTACCTACAGTGGTGCCTCGCTTAGCGATTGCTCCGTTGAGCGATGAAATCGCTTAGCGATGGCGTTTTGGCCATCGCCAGAGCGATCGCTTAGCGATGCCCCCTATGGTGAAAAATCGCTTTGCGATGATCGCGGGGAAGTGATCATCGCAAAGCCCCCATTTTCGGCCAGCTGATCGGCGGTTCCAAAATGGCTGCTGGAAAAACAAAATGGCCGCTGGAAAAACAAAATGGTCGCCCGCTGTTTTGCCTCGCTAGAGGCACCGAAAACGGCCGCCCCTATGGAGGATCTTCAAATAAGGACAGATTCTAAGCCCATAGGAATGCATTAAACATGGTTTAATGTGGTTCTATAGGCTTTTTATTCTGTTTAGCGATGAAATCGCTTAGCAACGTTTTTCCGACTTTTTGAGTTACAGACTTCTCTGGCCGCAAAATTTAATAGGCAAAGTACTCATGGACTGAACGGTACACTGAAGTATTAGCCCCCACATTTGCACTACAATTTAAATCAAATGGTCTTAGTTTCAATCATGGCACCCTTTTTGGAAGAGGATTAAAAGTACTAACATACAGAAAAAATTGGCAGATCGCCTGGACTACAGCGACCACCAGCATCAACCAGTACAGCCATTTGTTCGGACTCATGGGAACTGTTGTTCGAAATACCTGAAGGGGACCGGGTCGCCCGCTCTTACGTACAGGAGACCAAAACAGTGAGACTGAATACAGTGGACCCTTGACTTACAGACTTTTTGAGTTACAGACTTCTCTGGCCGCAAAATTTAGGTTTGACATGCAACCTGAGAATTGACCTACAGACCAGAAAAAAACCAAAAACGGAACAAAAACGGCTAGTTACAGATTAATTGGTTTTCAAAGCATTGTAGGTCAATGGCGACTCGACCTACAGACTTTTCGACCTGCAGGCACCGTTCTAATACGGATTAATTCCATAAATAGAGGGTCTACTGTATGCTTAAGCCAAGCCTTAACTTACAGAAGCGATAAGGTATTTTCTGGCCTTTACCTTAGGATACTGCTTGACTGGGATCAGAACTCGTTCCTTCAGCTTCATATTTTTATGGGAAAATAAATCCAAGTAGGTCTCCTCTTCATCCTTCTTCGACTCTCCCTTCTGAATCTTGTCAATTTCTAGGAAAGGCAAAACATCCTTCAGTCGAGACGGCATTTTATACTTAAGTGTACTCTACAAGTAAGCAAGGAGGACCAGTGTGGCTCATGTCTTATGAAAAACGAGACCTTATTTTTTAAAGCAACTGAGCCAAGTCAAAAAACACACCCCATCACCTGCCAAACAAAAGATAAATGAAACTATTAACTTTTCCTGTAGCAATTTTTATTTACCCAAAAAGGAAACAGGGACTCAACAGTTGATACAAAATATAAGCAGGCACTAAATGCAAAATGCTGTTGTATACTTATTTACTAAACACAACTGCAAAAAAGCAACATGCACAATCACAACTGGTATCCATTTGATACAGCATCTTCAGGAGATATACAGCCTCTCTAGACCTTGTTTTTTATAAACTAGATTAATTTTCTGCCCTCCAGAAATGACTAAGGTCTCTAGGCTATATGAAAGACCACACCTCCTTCTGTGAGCCTGCACAGGTTTTTAAATCATCAGGGAAGAAGGCCTTTCACAGCTACATCTGGTAAAGACACAGGGTGGATTTCATTTAAATCGCAACTAAAAAAATCTTAACATTGATTTTTTGATGATTCAAATAAAAAAAGATTTTTTTAAAAAAAATTAAATTGCAGTTTAAATCAATTTGTTTTTTTTTTTAAAGCAAAGTTGATTTTTATCCACCCTGCTGTTACCATGTTGGATTAACACATCTATACCCTAGAGATGCCTACCACCATCTCATTATTATTTGCTTTATACTGCAAATGACTTTTTTTTTCCACATAATACACTGCTTAGTACACTATGTGCCAGTGTCACACAAAATGGTTTAGGAAAATACTTTTGTTTAGCAATGATCTATGCATCGTATGTATGTTGACCATTTATTTATGTATTTCTCAGTAGTCAGTATCAACCATTTACTAGCATGCTTTGCGGTTCCTTATTTCATTTCGATCAAGGCAGCACCCATTTTGGAACAAGTTCGATTTCCCACATTACTGAGCCTCGTGGTGCCCCAGCGGTTCAACTGGTGTACTACAGCCCAAACTGTGCTCACCACCCGGGGTTCAATCTGAGCCTTTAGGCTGACTCAGCTTTCTATCTTTCGGAGGTCAGGAAAATGAGTACAGTGGTGCCTCACTAGACGATGATAATCCGTTCCACTGAAATAGCTGTTTAGTGAAACCATTGTCTAGCAAAAAGCATTTCGCCATTGGAATGCATAGAAACCTGTTTAATGCGTTCCAATGGGGAAGAATCGTCGTTGTCTAGCGAAGATCGGCCATAGGAAGGCCGCTTTGCGAACTGCTGATCAGCTGTTTAAATCGCTGTCTGGCGAAGCTTAGGTCCTGAAAACCTGTTTCGCAAGCACAGAGCGAGCTGTCAAAACTGTTGTCTAGCTAAAATCAGTTTGCGAAGCAGGGACCAAACATTGTCCAGCGAAATTCCCCCACAGGAATCACTATTTTGCGAATCACTATAGCGATCGCAAAAAGTCAATGTCTAGCAAAAAAACTGTCATGCAGGGTAACTGTCTAGCGAGGCACCACTGTATACCCAGTTTGCGGGGCAGGGGGTGGGTGGGAGAGAGAATGCGTAGCCTGCATAATTAACTTGCAAACTGCCCACAGACTGCCTTAAGTGCTATGGGGCGGTATATAAGCAACACACTTTTTGCTTTACCTTCAGCCCAAGGCTCAACTGAACAGATTTCTAGGATCTAGGCCAGTTTTTGCAATCTTCAAACCAAGATGCACACATTCACAGATAACAAGATTTGCTGTAACCCTGAACAGAATCCCAAACATTCCTTTAAAAGGGGGCAGAGAAGGCCCAGGTTCTACTGGGAGATCCAAACTCTTCCAGCCAGCTGTACTGAGTACCAGGAGGAATTTGGGGGGGGGGGGGGGCAAACTTCACAACGACACAATCTTTCCTGAGCCACTGTGACGTGATCTTCCCAGTAGAAATACATGCTCCAGCTCTCCTTGTAATGACAAGCATTTGAAGGTGGGAACTTGGCACTAACAGGGAATCCAAGAACCTTCCTGGCAAGCTCCCCAGCCTGCAACTGACAAGAGGAGGCTCTTTTCCAAGTCCCGCACCGCTTTCCTCAGGCAGTGCCAGGTGAAACCTAAGATGTGCAAGCGGGCATTCCTAGCTATGTGGGCCAGGGTTTTCGGACGTGTAGCATAGCTTTTCTGAGGATGTGGGGCTGCAAGGGCTCAAGACACAGAAGGTCAAAGAATTTACCCAAGAACTACAGGACAAACAAAGGTAGGTCTAAAGGCAGGAAAGCTGAGCAATGAAAATTCCTGCATTGCAGGCAAGGGGCCCAAACTAAGTGAAAACCTGTGCACAAGGTTAAAACACAGACTTTCTTCTGCAGGTTTTCCATATATTTTTAAAAAGTAACCCTGAGCAGCTTTTCCACCCACGATTTCAACATCTTGAATAGCAGTCTGATTTTTGTGGAACTCAAGTAAAGCATGCAGATATCTTCTTGAGATTTTTCTTTTATTTACTTTTTGGCACACAAGCTAAAGGTTTTTAACCCACAAGCCGCTAAACACGGCTAGAGACTTACTCAAGCATAGAAACCAATTTCTTCAATTGAGAGCTACACATTTTAAAACTGATTGCTTTCCTCAGCTGGAACTAAACATACATAGTAAAGTCTACTCTTATAATTTCAGTAAAATTATATATATTTGAGCTCCCTTGTCCTTATTACCAGGCAAGAACAAACAGGTAATTCATAAGCAATTTAATGTCTTTTTCTGTATGGCCATGTGTTGGGAAATTGCCACAAACTCGAAGGGAACTTGTCATTTACAGCCATGGAGAAGCAGAATGTGGCATACTGCCCTAATGGAAATATTAACACGCCTATTCAAATTCCTTAAAGGACCACAATCCCAATATGATTTTATTTCTACACATGATTTCCTTTTATTTATTATGTTACTAAGAACGACAACACCACTTTCGTCAATCTTTGGTGTGATATTCTAATGATACAAAACACAATGGTATGAAGGCAATATATCAGATTATACATTTCTACTGAAAGACTTGTACTATTATTTTGTTTTATTTCCATGTTCTTTCAATAAAGATTTTAAAAACGGTATATATTATATTCTGAGGGGCCATCAGTTTTGCTGGACCACTCCGTTGGGGGTTCATTCTGCAGACTATAATTTCCCTTCCACTGTGATCAGTGTTCATGTTTTTGAGGCAGATTGTTTAATTAGGTTGATTACACTGGTGATCGCTTGGGAGCAGACTGAGAGCGCTCAGAGGTTTTCAACTGGTAGGCATGCATATCTGTATCTATATCTATATATGTAAAAGGGCGGGGGGGGGAAGTACCCTTTGGATAAGGAAGTAAGAAAGCCAGTTTAATCTCAGATCCGTCTTGAGAATCTCTTGAATTATATGTGGGTGAGCAGGGTTTTCTGCCACGGGGTGGGTGGGAGTGGGGACAAAACTGACCTTGTCGACAGCTTCTACACCTGGGGCCAGGGCGACGCTGCTGCCATCCGGGCTGCTATCTACAAACCTCCTTCCCCGACGGCCCTGCATAGGCAGGCATGGAAGAATGCCACACAAATAGCTGCAAGTCCCTTTCGCTCCCCCTCAACAACTTGCTTGGAAAGCATCCAAACCAGCTCTGAGGGAAGCATCCCAGAGGGTGTGGGTGGACACAAGAACTCTCCAGCTCTGCCTGTACTGTCCTAGCTAGGCTGCACACAGGCTTCTTCTGGTCAAGCTGCTCCTACACAGAGAAGCTGCCTTTGGGGCCACTGCTGACCCTGACTGGAAGGCACCAGAGCTCTCAGCAAAATCTAAAGAAAGGGGCGGTGGCAGCGGCGGGGATAACCAGACCCAAGCATGTTATATACAGGGACTACACAGGCACCTAAAATTGAAGCTGATAAAGACTTCAAACACGATGCATTCCCACATGCTTCTCTACAGGAAACTGTGCACAGGGTTTATGCTTGCCGCACACATAGACCTACTCCTCTGCTTCTATAGATTTATCCGTATCACCAACTGTGAACAACTGCAGCTTTCCCAGTGCGTGCCTGGCAAAACAGACACGCCTGATCTTTTATAGAGTGGAGACATACTTTGCAACAGAAATAGAGGCAGTGTTGAAATTGAAGCAGCTGCCTTTCTTTATCCTTCTGCTGCCTGCCCACGTAAGAACCTGCACATTTCCTGAAAGATGCAAATCAGACCTGGGCTGCAGCATTTGCAGAAATAAAGATCAGCAACTGCTTTTTCATCCCAGAATACATTGCTGGGTGTAATCTCCTACCTGTAGCATCTATCATAAATTCATTCGGCCATTTGGAAGTTGGGCAAAAATCATGGCCACAACAGCTGGCCATGACTTTTCTGTGAGAACGTCTCTGCTGCTTTCCCCTTCTCTTCTTTTGAGCCACCTTGATCTAACAGGAAGTATTCAGAACTTGGGAAGTAAATGAATTTAATTATAAACCCGTTTTGGATAAAATGAGGTCTAAAATACTCTAAATGTAGATATACAAGAATACCACTGTCAAGGCTAACAGCGGCTGAGAGATCAGACACTAAACAGTGGCAACTACAGTGAATCACACTCCTGCAGGCTGACCAATCTGGTGTTAGAACATGGAATGTGCAGTCATTAAGGGAACATAATGAACTCAAATCCAGCTTCTAGGAGGGAAGACTGCCAATTTGACTAGGGAAAAAAAGCCTCACAGGGAAGGATTAGGGCAGGCCTTGTGGTTATTAGGATCATTTTTCACCTTTCTATCCTCTTGCTAATTCATGTCCACTGGTCCAAGCAACCTGAAACCAGGACGTTAATAATATTAATAAAAAAAAGCACACAAGCAAGCATAAAATAAGCAACAGATAATGCCATGATAAAATTGTTATGGTAAGGCAACTACCAGAATACAAACAGTTTGTTAATAAGGACGATAAAAGAAAGGGCCATGGAACTCTTTTTCTGTGACTGAAAAAAGAAAAGAGAAACAATGGAA